ATTTAAACATTAAAAAGATCAAATGTAAATTAGATTATTTAAGTGTGTCATATTTCATACATTAGTTTTTGTGATTTTTGACATTTCTGCGTCATCAGTTTGATTTTTTCCTCCCTAAAAAAAATAAATAAATCACACAACATTTGTAATGGAATAAACTGAATGTTGCAAATTTGATACAAATTAAAAGTCAAATTTATTTTGTTTTTAATTTCATCTGGAGGTTCACTAAACACTCACTTAAAAAAAAATGCATTTTCTGGCACTTATTTCAATGGTTAAAATATGTCTATAATTTAGGAGCCACAACTTTTTGATATACCTTTATGTGAAGGGTTTAATCAGAATTAAGTCAAGCATAAAAATAGGGGTTAATCTGGTTTCCAGCAACTAATTTTCCAGTACAACAATGGCCTCAATCCCCCTTTAGATATTTTTTCCACTCTGACGAGATTAAATATCTAGGGGAACTTCTGAAAATCCAACGATAATGACAGATATCAGTACCAAATACCCCAATCTGTCTTTAGAAAATAATATGGGTCAAATGTAAATATGAAACCCACATGAGGGGGAAACATCTTAAGTGTAGCAGTGTGAACACAGCCTTGGATGAGGGAAAGGGGGGCTCTGGTATGGAGGTTCACAGCTCTGGGGACTTGGAAAATATTCATCTCCTCTAAGCAGGGACAGTTAAGGGGGGCAGGCTTTGTCTAACACAACCCCTCCAGTCCTCTTCTCTTTTGTTGGAAAGAAGCATTCACACACACACACACACACAGAGACACACACACACACACACACACACAGACGTAAAGCACTCCAGCAGTGAGGCTCTGACCAGCTGTCTTCATTCTGAGAGATAGCCATCGTCGCTCATAAACACAGAGAACTCACAGAGGAAGGCGAGCAGGAGGAAATGTCTCTGCTTCACCTTTTCTTTAATTTCACTCCAGCATCTGCGTCCTTCATTTTAGCTGACACCTCCGCAGCACAGAAGGAGCGTTCATTTTTTTAATTGCTTGCTTTAGAACATATTAATGTCTCATAAAGTTTTTACATCTAAAGTTTGAAGTCAATATCCAAAAAAAATCGCACACGAACATCCCTAAAGGCATCGAGACGATTCAAACGCCAGCAGCATGCAGATACTCTCATTTGTTTTTGTGCCAGCAACCGCGTAGAAGTTTGCAGAGAAGCAACATCTCAATTTAAAAATGATGCCGGAGGGGCTCGGGTTACATGCAAACAATTTCGCAACAAAAATGAGAATAAATTACAAAATTATAAAACTTAAAAGACGCCTGCGTTAGAGCAACACCTGCAGGAGGCAAATAATTATAGAAAGAGAATGGGTTCCTCCACCGATTTATCACGTGCCTGAAAGAGCTTATCTGAGATAAGACAAACATCGTGCGGCAGAATTTCAGTTTGAATAGCGATTTGGGGAGAACCAATCAAATGCCTGCATACTGCCTCCATATGTGCTGTGATCAGGGCGTCTGCGTAGAAATCGAAGCAGACACGGCGGCGACGCTAACAAAGATAGCCAAAGCCGCCTGCTTTCTCTCTCTTCAGAGTGTGTGTGAAAAGTGGTGTGTATTGTTCATAGACCGAAGCTATTTCAGAGCAGGGGGGCCCTTCCAGTTGTCCTCCTTACATCGGCCCTTTCATCGCTCCCTCATCCATATTTATCGCCGCTCAGCTCTCCTCACCTATCAGCGACCAGTTAGCTGTGACCGATGTCTCGCTAAACCAATCACATGCTTCCCTTTGTGGGAACATTAGCACCTCTCAGTGCCTTCACCCCACCCTGTACAATGGCTTCTTTGCTTTTTTTTTTTTTGACGCAGTGGCTTAAAAAAAAGAAGAAGAAGAAGAAGAAGAGGAGAGAATAGAGGAGAAGGAGAACTGCAGCTACCGGTGGCAGATTCAAGTCGATGGCGGCTCCAAATCGATTGACAGCCTCGGAAACAGTTGCCGAGTGAGCGTCGTCAATAGCAGCCAGCAATTGATGATGGGGGGAGCGGGTGGGGGATGAAATGATGGGAGGACGAGGGTGAAGGAGGACAGGAGGAGGAGGAGGAGGAGAGTGGAGTCATGATGGTCTGAATAGAGCATGATTAGTATGGATGAAGAGGAGAGGAAGATGGAACGAATGAACCTAGGAGAGAGGAAAGGGAGCGGGCGAGGAACGCTTACGAGTGAACAAAACAGGCGTGTCGCAGAGGAGAACGCTGTGTTCTGATTCTCGCGCTAAAGGACGAGCGGGAGCGCTATCAGTCGTTATATTTACCAAAAATATCAGCTTGAGTTTAACGGCAGGAAAAAATACAACCGTGCATATTTTGTAAGATAGCATCAACAGTTGTAACGTGTTGATATTTAATTTAAGATATGAGCTTATTTTCTTCAATCTGGCTCAGACTGAAGCAGTTTTAGCTGAATTTAAGAGTGAAACTCGGTCCGGGTGGTGTCGGGGTTTCTTCCTCCTCGACCAGACGCACGATCAATGTGAGGAAGACTGTCCTCCTTTGTATGGATGGCCCAAAAAAGGATGCACAGCTAAGCTCCAGGAGCAACAGAAAACACTCAGATCAATACCATCAAAGGCCTTGTCTCACATAGTCAAGGCTCGAGTCACAGTCAGACTCTGGGTCTGCTACTGTAAGTGTGCGCATGCAGCGCCACATATCATTTACACACCACCTCATCTTTTTCGTTAAACTTCATCTTTGCTTTTTGTACCCTAAGTCGAACATATAACACACACACACACACACACGGAAAGCTTTGAGTGTACTGCTAGTCTAGTCCCCTAATGTCACTTGGCAAGGGCATTTCAAGCCCCTCCTTCTTCTTCCCAGCACTGGCTTGCCAGTCCATCCATTTACTAAATGAATGTATTATATCTTAAAGGCAGCAGAGAAGACAAGGAGGGAAAAAAGAGGGGAAAGAAGAAAAAAAACATTAAAGGCTTATAATTAAAGAACTGAGAATCTCTGTTCACCAAGGTCAGCAAACTTATCCAAGCTGATAAACCTGCACACCTCCCACACAGTCACATGTTGGTTTCCTGATCACCTACATGAAAATCAAAAAAACAAAACAAAAAAACCCACTCCAGTTTATTTGGTTTGTGCTTACGTAAGGCTTCTTAATGGCTTATACAAGCAGGTTTTTCCCCTGAAAGCTGCATTTGTTTTCAGTGGACTGAATCACAGTAATTTCTTTTAGACTGAAAGGCTGTTTCTGGGTATTTGTATGTACTGCTTCTTTGCATTAGCCCAAACAAATCAATCCGGTGCTTTAACCTATGGTGCTGGATGCTACATCTTACTTGGATTAAAGTGAATGAAAAACATGGAACTTCCAGGACGCTTTGATAAAATAT